AAAAAAAAAAAAAAAAAAAAGGAATTGAGAATCTTACTGCTTTGGTTTAATTCAATGAATGATTTTCTCACTTCTACTTATAAGCCTTACAGGGGAAGCCATATTTGGTCTTCTGAATGACAGCCATATACTGTATCTGTTATTCCAAGTCTTCTGAGATTACTGCTGATTCACAGAGTTAGAGAGCCTGCTCATGGACCATCTGAGTGACAAGGGAGGCAAGAAGGAAGCAGGCAGTTATAGTTACTTCCAATTTTATTGTTTCTGACTTGGACCTCTTTTCATAAAGAAGTATGTGAAGTTTGAAATATTTGATAAAATTGGACTGTTAAGTGAGAAGAATGAGTAAAAGAATTTGCTAAAATATTATATCTTTTTCACCATATATAGTAACCCAAGTATACATGTGCCTGGTGTATATACATGCAAGGGATGTCTTCTGGAATGTGTGTGTGTGTGTGTGTGTGTAATAGAGAGTATACACAAACACCATTCACAAAATTGAAATCCTTTCTCTGCCAGAGACTTAGGAAAGTATCTGTTGTCTCCATATTCTTTCTGTTTTTCTCTTCTTCTAAACAGATTTTTATTTTCATCTTTTATAACAATTTCTGTAGTAATATTAGAAAAATTGGCTAAATAGACTTTCATTATCCTCTATCCTGTCAGAGGATATATTTCTGTGTAGACAACTTGATCTTGAGGTTTCTGATTTTCATGGGTGTAAATTCTAAATGAAACTTTCATGAACTTGTTTGCTTTATAAAAATCTGTCTTTCTGGTGTATCTACTGGAAAATAACTCATTACTGCAAAACATCTGTAATAAAACATCTCTACGCAGTTGGCATTTCCCCAGGACGCTCTGGATCTACCTGTCCCATTGAACATTTTAACTTCCAGGTTCAGTATTAGTCATTGGAGAATTTGAATACAGCACATCCAAGTATTGAGAAATTTCTGTTAATTATTATTAATCACAGGACATTATTTGAAAATCCTTGGGTTTTGAGATGTTTACCAGCTGGTTTATTCTGATTCCAATTATTTAATCCTCTAGGAGATTTAACTTTGCTTTGCCCCTCAGCATTCAGGCTAAGGTATTCTTTCTATCAGAAGAATCAAAGGGGCAAGAAGGGCTCCTTAGGCTTTGGCCCAAGTTCAACATCATCACAGCTCTTGAGGGGACAGTGGATCACCCAGTGATGGCAGGACCGTCTTCCAGTTCACTTTCCATGAGGAGCCTCCTTTCTCTATTGGAAGCTCAACAAGGACATTGCCCTCAATATGCTGAATAGGAAGAGCAGCTATGCATTTAACACAAACTCATTTTCTCAACTGATCTTCAAAATAACGTAAAATATGTGAGAATATCTAGGGACTGGAAGCTGAGGCCATGGTGTGGTGCTTCTTCCAGACCAGAATTTTCTTTAACCCGCTGAGAACAAAGCTGGATGGAAGGAAACAAGGAAAAGGCAGAAGCTTCTGTTGTCAATAAAATTATTCTTTATCTCAATAAAAGACTCAAAATTTACAAGCTTGTCCAAGATTATTGTTCCAGTTGTTTCTCACAGAATCTCCACATGATCTCCCTGGGCTACTCCAAGGAGAAATGAAGTATCCCATCATAATTCCTCAACTCTCCTCTCTCCAGGATTCATCTAGGTTGAGCAGAGAGCGGTTGTCTCAGGAGGATGACAATTGCTATGGGTATTCTGGCTGAGTATCAAAAGCCTCAATAAACATTCATTGAGCACTTACTATGTGCCAAGTGCTGCTCTAAGGGAAAATTTGGGGCTTACATTTCAGAGATGAATAAAATTCAAACCCTGTCCTCGAAGGACTTATGACTTAACAGCAGGGGCCAAAGCCACTCACTTACTCTGAGGGGTAATACGTGTAATGAGGGAGCCAGGCACAGCAAGCTATGAGAACATGGAGGAGGAAATCTACCTTGACTTGCAGGTTAGAGAAGACTATAAGCAATTCAGGTCAAAGGAATGTACATCCGGTTCTATAAGGAAACCAGAGCTTTCATTAGATTTGGGGGAAAGATGGGCAAGGGGAAGCATAAGCAAAGGGGCTCTAAGGCAACTTCCTGAAGATTTACATGAATGGACAGTAGAAGCAAGCACTTCCTACCCATGTGGTGGAAGTTTAAAGTTGGAGCTGGCTGAGAACCCTGTGGTGGGACTTTGCTTCTGCTCAGCTCCTCTCTAGGTCCTTGTCTACGAAGCTGGTAGTAGAATTGGGACGACTATTGCTTGGCAGTGTTAGCAATCAGGAACTCAAGCTAGGCACAGAGCAGAGGCAAGGGAGGCTCAGCTGCAACCTGTCCAGTACCTCTGTCTGTCCAGTACCTCTGTCTGTCCAGCTTGACATCCTCCTGCAAGCACAGTATGACAGCCATCACTGCACTTCCCAAATCTTGCACACATCTGGGAAAATGCAGTTTCCAATGTAAGTTGACACAGTGCTGTCATGGGAAATTAAATGAGCAAAGGGAACAACTTTCTATGTGTATGTGGGAATAAAATCAGCTCAACCATTCCATGCAGAGAAATGAAGGCGAAAGAGGTGAGGAGTTGCCCTTATGTGCCCTGCTATGAGGCTCCATCCATTCAGTGAATGGGAAACACTGAAATAGGTTGAAATTTCAAATTCTAGATTTTACTCTTTCCTCCTACTTCATTATACCATTTTGGTTCTAATAGACATACGAATGAAAAGACGCAAAATGAACAACTCAGTGTAAATGTAACACATAACACTGTCTCTCAAGGACAAGTACTACAGTGCCAAGCTAGGGGGTGGCTCCAAGTAACCCATGCTGGCTGTGACAGTGTCTCACCACAGACTGAGAAGAAATGGCCCAACTAGGCTCTGGAATGGCCTTGAGGATCCCCAGCATTGCTTGCTACAGGAAGGAAAACCGAAGAAGAAACTACCGGGCCTAGGAAATGGCGAAGGGGCAGTCTGCCTCCTTGTCTCACATCAGGAGCTATTTCGGGCTCCACCTCAAGTCCATGCCTCCAGCCTGTGCTGCTCTGGGAAAGCTTATTGTTTGTCTCTGGTATTTTGGATAGCAATGTATAAAAGTGAATTTGAGTCTCTTTTGTCAGGAGAAAGTGATTATTTTCCTCCTTGGTCCCAGCTTTCACAATCATGCTGTCAAAACCAGTCCTGCTTCTTCGCCGTGATGCCTTTTCCTTTCCTTACTTAGCTAAGAAGAGTCTGAGGTGCTCAAGAGTCTGAGGTGCAGAAGAGGGGCTGTGTTGTTGCAGAGATGGAAAGGTGGGTGTTCAGCATTTATCAGGACACTGAGATAACACAGGAATTCCTTAAGAACCATTCCAAAAGCAACATAAGAGAGAATCTTAGTAAGCAAATATCGATATAGGGCATAAATACAGATAGGATGCAAAATAAAGGAGGAAGAAAAAGTTAACACTTTTTGATCATCCCCTACCCTCCAAGTGAGTGGTATGATGTGTTTTACTTAATATTCTAAGCATTTTACACCTCTTAGAACTTGCAGATTAGAACCTCTAGTTCTTGAAAAGTTTAGACAACTGTTTCAAGATTCTATAGCTTATTTGCTATAAGCAATATTCAAAACCAGGTGTATTGCTCTGTGAAGCCATGATATCTGCATTGCATAATGCTTGCCAAATTTTCTCCTTCATAAACATTTAATTTGTCTTCAACAGATTGCAGAAGTGGAACTAAAATTGGTCAGTTTTGCACTCCAAAAGCAAGTTCTGGAATTTCTTCTTTATTTGTAACCTTAAGAGAGTTGCTTTTACTATTCTTTCTGTTAAAAAAAAAATCTTTGCATTATTGGACTCTTGTGATGGTAATTGCTCTACTTGATCACAAATATAATGAGAAGCATTTCTGGAAAACTTATTAACTGCCCACACTAAGTACTGCTGAGTAAGTACGGGTTTCTTGAGAGTCCTTAGCTGGAATATTTTTCCCCCTGGAATTTCTCCTTACAACTTCTCCCTTCCCATGATCACTATTTAGAGCTCTTTCCTCAAGTAATAATTTATTAAAAAATTAATACTCAACCATTTCTCACATTGAAAGAAATGAATGAGAAGAATACAACTATCCACCAAAAGAATATTTTTCTGTTTTTTCCTAATTTTGGAGCAAAGAAGAAAAATGATATATAAATCCAGCATCTTTAATTTTCACCTTTAATTAATTTTCAGGTTAACTAATATCATATGCAGAAGGAAACTCAAATAACTGAGCTTGTGAATAAGGCCAGCTAGGTCCCTTGATACGGCTTCACTGATCCTGTGTATTGTACCCCATGGAAGAGTAGTTCCTAAGGAAAGTATAAAATCATTAACTGATTGCATTCATGTGATCTTTGCTTTTGGAGAAGAACTCTACATTCTTTATTTTTTCTCCGTTTGCTGCAAGATAGATTTCTTCTTAGGAAGTGACTGGTTTTTACTTGTGTAAGTGACTTCGAAACTATGGATTCAGTTTATTAGAAATTGCCTAGTAGTTAGATAAATAAAATACTTTCCTCATATCAGATAGTCTTTCCAAGATGTGTAGACACTGTTTGTTATCTTTAGAAAATATGGGCTGGGATGTAGCCCAGTGATAGACTATTTACCTAGGATGGATGAGGTACCAGCACCAGAGAAAGACATCCCACTTCAGCAATCCCAGAACTTGCTTATGGAGTACAAAGGTGCAACACGCAAAACTAAAACAGGGCAATTTTTTATTCTTTTAATTATCTCTGAATTCTTCTTTTGGAAGAGATGAAAAAATGAAATATTTTAATTTGCTGATTTTATTGTCAGTTTATTTAATTATTAAAGGAAGAAACTTGGATAATTATTGTTCCAGAAAAGTACTAATTACTCCTTCCTCATGCAATGATTTATTAACAAGAATTATAATTGGTAACTTGGTTGACTCGCAACTTTAAATCTCACTGTACATTTGACAGCAAGTACATTATCGAATGGGAAAGGTACACCTCAATCATTTTATGCCAATGACTATGATACAATCACTTTTTCTTTGAGGAAGCATTTGCCTTACATCTTTCTTTCTCCTTAAGGATATTGTTTACACTAGTTTAAAAGAGCCTAGTCAGACAAACCAGAAAACATGAATTCGGTGCAATATTTGATTTTCAGAGCACATTTGATTTAGCACCCAGTGAAACTGTACTGGGTTCATCCTAGGTTCAATTGTTCTTTAGTTTCCTCTTCTTGATCTCACTTTCTGATAAGATTTTTTTATTATTTTATTTTTACTTTTTAGGAGGTGGCCAATTCCCAGAGAGGAAAGTGTGGAAACCATAAATGAGAGCTATCCTCACCCACAGTGCTGAAGAGAACCCTGCAGTATTCTGCTACCAGGTGAATGGGTCTTGTCCCAGGACAGTCCATCCTCTGGGCAGCCGGCTGGCAATCTACCTGGCCTGCACAGCAGGCATGCTGACTACAGTCCTGGGGAATTTGTTTGTGGTGTTTTCTGTGTCCTACTTTAAAGTACTTCACACTCCCACCAACCTTTTGCTGCTGTCTCTGGCCCTGGCTGACATGGTGCTGGGTCTTCTGGTGCTGCCCTTAAGCACTGTTCACTCTGTGGAGAGCTGCTGTTCTTTGGGGACTTCCTCTGCCATGTGCATACCTACCTGGACACGCTGTTTTGCCTCACATCCATCTTTCATCTCTGTTTCATCTCTATTGACCGCTACTGTGCCATCTGTGACCCTCTGCTCTATCCCTCCAAGTTTACAGCCAGGGTGGCCCTCAGGTACATCTTGGCAGGGTGGGGGGTACCAGCGGCTTACACTGCCTTCTTCTCTACACAGATGTGCTAGAGAGGGGACTGAGCCAGTGGCTGCAAGAGATGCCTTGTGTAGGTAGCTGCCAATTGCTGTTCAATAAGTGTTGGGGCTGGCTCAACTTCCCTGCGTTCTTTGTTCCCTGCATCATCATGATTAGCTTGTACGTAAAGATCTTTGTGGTTGCAACCAGGCAGGCTCGACAGATCAGCACTTTAAACAAAAGCTTGGCTGGGGCTGCCAAGCGGGAGAGAAAAGCTGCCAAGACCCTGGGCATTGCTGTGGGCATCTACCTCTTGTGTTGGCTTCCCTTCACTGTGGACACGATGGTGGACAGCCTCATTAACTTTGTCACACCACCCCTGCTCTTTGACATCTTTATCTGGTTTGCTTACTTTAACTCAGCCTGCAATCCTATCATCTATGTCTTTTCCTACTGGTGGTTCAGGAAGGCGCTGAAACTCATCCTGAGCCGGAAAATCTTCTCACTGCAGAAATCCACCATCAATTTGTACCAAGAATGACTGAACACAGGCAGGAAATCAGTAGTGGGAGGAAGAACCTGAAGGAAGGACGAGAGGTACTGTGGCTAGGTGATGTCGAAAGACTGTGGGCCGCTTCCGTGGGTTAAGTGAAGGAGAAAAAACAAACTTCATAACTTGGGAGACATAAGTGCTCCTCTCATTCAATATTTTCATGTGAGATGTAGAAAAAGGAGAGTGAAGTCATCTCAGTATTCGCTAGGTAAGCCAGAGGACTGGAAAGTACCTGGGTCCAAAGTCATTGCTTCCTTGAAACAACTGACATGCAGACGTGGAAGGAGCTGAGGTCAAGGTCTGGATTTCTGAGTTCTGTCCCTGGCTCTGCCACATGTCGCAGTCGGGTAAGACTCTGCTATATTAGAATTGACCGTTTCCTGCCATAAAATCTCCTCATTTAGAAAAGTCAGTTTGTACTGTTTTCTCTTTAAGGCATCCTGAAGCTACAATATTGTATAATGTAACTTTAGGAAACTTTTTTGAACCATAATTTTACTTCACATTTTATAATTATTGTCAAGTATATAAAATATCTTCTTTTCAAAATGTTCGTTTTAGAATCTTTGTCTTCTTGCAACCCAACCACAAATAGATTTGTTATTCAGCTTTGTTTATTTCAATGAGTTATCTCTGAGATGATATTCTTGAAGGACTACATTTTAAAAAATGCAAATACTGAATCCACATGGAGTATTTGTTTAATGATAGATATTCAAATCTCATCATTTTAGTATTTCTTCCTTTAAACTTCTGTCACACATGTGAGACCTGCTATCTTTCCGCCAGCACCAGTACAAGGTGTTTCCTCAGAGCTGAACCAAGTGTTTCACAGCAGCTGTTACTCGTAATAGCAATAAATCTACAAGCAGGACTAACATTGAAAAACAAGTAGGAGAGTTGAGCTTCTTGAGCAATTTAGAAATAAAAAGACATGGTGTTGTGGTCCAATACCCATGTCACCAATGGACCCAGGAAGGGGATCAAGAACCTTTATGGTGAATACCACAAAGGGGAGCACAAGCTGATGGGGTGGGAGGGGAGACACCTGACCCCAGGATTTGAAATCCAGCTCATCACTATTTTTGATCAATAACAGGTATAAGAAGCAAGTCTGATGCACCCAGCAAATCTGCTTAGGTCCTTGGACAAATGAAAAGCTGCTTTGAATATCAATTGCCTGAGTTCTAAGTAGGATGTCCCTGGTAGTGCTTTACTATAGGGGTTTTTACATTGTTCCTGAGCAAGAATTAACCACATTTGAGGTAAATGTTCTTAAGTTTTTGGGCCACAGACTCTTGACATCCTGGTAAAGACCATGGATTTTATCTCAGAATAAGTGTTACATGTGGGTAAAGTTGTTCTAAAACAGGATTGTAAGGAAAAACAACTATTTTGAGATATAATTGTTAAAATATCTTAGAAATAGCAAACTCTTATATAATCATTTGTGTGCTCCTTTCTGACAGCATTAAGCAAGATCAGCTTGCAGGTGCAATATAACTATTTTAATTCCAAGCACTTGGGATCATAAATGAAATTATACAATATCTCCAATAACTATACTGTGATATGAAATTACCGATTTCTAATGGTGGGAAAAATCAAGGGTAGTAGTAACATCACTGTGTTTTTCCCTTTTATTCGAAATGGAAGGAAGTGCCATATTTTCAAGCAGAGATTAGTAAAAATAAAGATAAAATATTTTTCCCATATGACTGACTATCCAAACACCTGCTTTAAGAATCTCATTTAAATGTGAACACCAGGACACTCTTCCTAGCATAATAGTTTTGTGATCACATTGGAAAGAAGCTGCCAGGCAGACTTTACCATTAACTGCTGACAGACTGATGGTGGAAAAACACATCAATAACTGGATAATCTTCTTCATTAAGAATATGAAACTCAAAAGAGATCAAGAAGCACAGTCATTTCTTGGTGTGTTTGTGCTGGCTTTGAATTTCTTTGTCTTTAAAAAACTTTCTGTTGCAGCAAGAGGTGGGAGAAGAGGCCCGCTGATCTCCTGCACCAGTGGGTGCAGCAGGGTCTCGGTCTCCGTCTTCTTGATCCACTGCATCATCTGGGCGTGCTCGGTGACCAGCTGCCGCAGGTCAGCCATCTTCTGCAGCAGCTTGGGGAAGAGGTACTGGGAGTCGGGGTGGTTGACCTGCAGGTGGAACTCCAGGGAGCGCAGGATGGTGTCCTGGATGGCCTCCACCTGAGGCACGTTCACGAGGCCTGGCCGGTCTATGGGGACACGGACACGCAGGTCTCAGAAGGGCAGGGCCACTCCTCGGCCCCACCCAGCCCCGTCCTGTCAGTGACTACCACTGAGTTCTGGCCTCAGGCCCTCTTTTGTGTCCTGCCAATAGCACTTTTCCTGATCAGGGAGGGGAGAAGGCACTGTGGTTAAGAGACTCTGCCTGGACTTAAATCCTGCCTCTCCCATAGGCTACCCGGAAGGCCCTGGGAAGGTCACCTGGGCTCTCTGGGCTTCAGTCTCCTCATCTGTAAAGTGGGGATAAAATAAAAGAACCTCCAGCCTGGGGCTGCTGGGAGGACTGAATGAGTTATAATTATGAAAGAGAACTAGAACAGTGTGTGGCCTGAGGTAAGCTCTATGCCACCGCTACTGAGCAGGCTTGTTATTCAGTTGGGATCTGAGAAATGCAGGTGAAATACAGGTTTGTCCACCACCCAAGGAACCCCATGAACACGATGGTTACTTTCTTCCACCTCCATCTGTGTAATGAGATGGAGCCGATCCTGCATGCGCAGCAGTGCTGGGGTCACAGGCGCATCCCCCACTGTCTGAGCTCAGGACATCTGAGGTTCACCTGCCCTGGTCTCGCTCCCCTCCACACAGAATGATCGCCGCGATGAACAGAGCCAGGTCACTGTCATCCAGTTCCAGGGCATTGAACTTGACAGCAAACTCAAACTTGGGCTCGAGGATGTCACTGAAGGGCTTGCGGAGGCTGCGCAGGAACTCATGGGTGACAAAGCCACTGCCATTGGCCAACAGCAGCCCGTCTTTGTTGACGATAGAGGCCAGTATGGCAAAGATGGCCTCGTGCACACCATATTCGAGCAGGGTCACCTGGTTGTTGAGGAAGAGGCTGCTGAAGTTGGGGATGCTCTTGGCAAACTCAGTGAGCTCGCGCACGGTCTCCACCGTGGTGCACTGGCAGCGGGAGAAGATGTGCACGCTGATCTCTTTGTAGGGCGGCAGGCCGTTCACCAGCTGCTTCCACACCAGGCCTTCTCCGCCTGCCACAGTGTCTCGATGTCGTGGATCACGAAGGGCTGAAAACCAGGCCCCATCAGAGGCCAAGCCTGGGGCCCCGGCCCGTGCTCCCACACCCCAGCCTGTGCCATGGAGTCAGAGCTGCAGAGGCTGCTGCCAGGCAGTGCATTCACCGCTGTGTGGCTGGACTTGCGGGTGAGGATGCTGCAGGCCTTCTTCTTGGTCATGTTGAAGTTCTTCAGGTAGGCGTTGTAGATGTGCTTGGAGAAGGCCCTCAGGTCAGCCAGCTGCGGGCTGTGCTGCTGCTCCTCTCTGGCTGTCAGCCCCACCACCAGCTTCCTCTTCTCAGCCTCCAGCATCTGGCCAAAGCAGATGGCTGCAGAGGGCCAGGGACAGTGACTGAGGAGCCGGGCAGGGCCCAGCACCCTGACCTTCCTGTCCCTCCTCCTTGGGGACACGGCTCACTGATGGAGACCTAATTGTGACCCCTCAGAGGCTCCAGAGTGAGCAGGACAGCACTGGTGTGGCCCCTCCGGACCTCAGCTCCACCAGGGCAGGGCTCTGTCTCCCTCACAGGGTCCTCCCTTGTCGATTGACGGGGCCATCTGGCTGGGAGGTGACACAGCATGGCAGGGGAAGACTGGCTCTGCTGATGAGGTCTGTGCCTTGGCTCCAGCCCAGCACCGTACATGCAGTGTAGCCTGGACGGGCCGTCTCACCTTCCTCTGTCAGGAAACGTGAGCTGGCAGCTTACTTAAACCCACAAACCTTACTGTATCACTGCAACAACTACATGAAAATGTTTCCTGGAGCCCCAGCTACTCAAAAGACTGAGGTGGGAGAAGCGTGTGAGCCTGGGAGTTCAAGACCAGCCTGGGCAACAGTCTCAAAAAAGAAAAAACAGGATATGAATCTGACTTCTGTTACAAAAAAGGCACCACGCCCGGCCTGGCCAGGCCCTCACCATTGTGCGACATGCCCCGGTCCAGGCATTTCTGGAAGGGGCAGTACTGGCACTTGTTGCTGTTCTTCTTCTGGATCTTGCAGCTCCGATCGCACTTCTCATACTCCAGCTTCATACGGATGGTGCGGCGGAAGAAGCCCTGCGGGACAAAGAGCAGAGCCTCCGAAGCCCCTGAGGCTCTGACCTCAGGAAGACTGGAGCCCAAAGCCCGCCTTTCCTGCCTGCCTTCTGAAGTCTGGCCTCCAGGGGGCGCTGGCCATCTACGACCTTGCAGTGAGTGGCTGGGTCAGCTGGCTGGTGCCCAGTAGGGCAGGCCAGCAAGGAAACCTGTCCTCTCCCGCAGGGCCCAGAGCTGGGGCCTGGAATGGGCCCAAGGAGATTTCACAGTGGGTCCTGCCAGGGCCCTGGCCTGTGGCAGAGGAAACCGGCAGGTTGGCTCGCCCTGAGACTGCAGCCCCGAGGGCCTGCACGGTCCGTACCTTGCACCCCTGGCACGCATGGACGCCGTAGTGGAAGCCTGATGCCTTGTCCCCGCACACCCGGCACTCCATGTTGAGGCTGCCGCCCGAGACCCCGTCACAGCCCATCTGCAGCTGGTGCAGCAGGGAGGGTGGAGAGGCGCCCTGGGGGAGGTTGTGGACACACGACGGAGTCAGCGTCACACTCTGCCGGTCAGGAAGCACCTGAGCCACGGGCCTGTGCAGAACCCGAAGACCTGCTTCTTCACCTGCACGTGCAGTTAAGGACAGCTTCTCTGGGAGGACGTGCAAAGGCCCGGAGTGTCCCCTGCCTGCCACAGGACTCGGGCGCACCAGAGCCTTCCTGGACCAACCTCTGCGGGCGCACAGGGAGTGGGCACGGCCGTGGTCCGGGCGGGGCAGAGTCTCCAGGCGGCCCTTTGGAGGCTGCCCCTCGTGGGCCCCCACGGCTGGTGCGGCCGCTCTGGGAACTGCAGAGCTCTATGGAGCCACGCGTGGCCCTCCCGATGGTCCCCGTGCAGACTGCGGAGATGCCGAAACAAGTCTCGCCGGAGCCTCAAATTCACTCCCACGGAACTCCGATGTGGGCACAAACAGCGCAGGTATTGTCACAGTGATGGAGCTCTGTGCTGTTTCCCCAAGTTTTTCTACTCAACGCACAGCTGTCAGAACCATGGTTTGGGGAAGGAAGGCGGGCGGTGTGGCCACAGCTTTGGGCAGCTGTGCATCTCCCCTGAAACTCAGGAATGAAACCATGGGGACCTCGCTGGGTCTTGGCCTCTGACCCCCACCCCCGCCACACTGGCCTAATCCCTGCTCTCTCACGGAAGAGAGTGACTTCCTCAGAGGCCCATGCCAGGTTCCTCAAGGAGGAGCACCTGACACCCCAGCCTGGCCGCAGCAAAAGGGCCCAGCGGGCTGCTCCCCTCTTGGCTGGTGAGATTTCGGGGCGACACAAGTTCTAAAATGGCCTGTCCCATCCCAGCACCTCAGTACCCATCTTCAGTCAATCCAAGGGGTGTAACCATCCCCTCAGCCCCCTAGAGGGACAGTGGGCCCCTCAGTCTCTCGGTGAAGCAGGTGTGGTCTTCTCAGTTGCCTCTGTCGCTGCTCAACAGTGCACCCCTGTTTGTGGCTGGGTGCCACCCACTGGACGTCAGGGCCACAGGGCAGGGCACCGCTGTGCAGGCGCTGGGCACATGGCAGGCTCAGCAGCTCGAGAGTCTGAGGTCCTCACGCTGCCCCTGGGTCCTTGCCTCAGCAGTGCCAGCTGGGACCTGCTGCCCTGGAGGCGTGAGAATGGGGACAGTAGAACTGCCAGTAGCCGTGTGGGAGGCAGTGAGTGAACACGCCACTGAAGCCCTTTGTGGAGGCTGCTCAGATGCTGACGGTCCTGCCGCCTTTGTGCACTGTCACAGACTCCCGTCCCTCACCACGTTCCCACTGGACCCAAGCGCCCAGCCCCACCCACGTCTCATCCACAGTGACCAAGCACCAGGATGAGTCACATCTTTCTTTAGCCCCTCCTCCTCCTCCCTGTGGGGCAGGAATCTGGTCACTGGGTCACTGGTGGCCCTGTGTATGGCAGTGCCCTCCTTTTCAGTTCATAGACAGACATCTGCTGAGCGCCTGCTGGGTACAGGGTGGGACAGGACCAGACACTGCCCTCAACCAGCTGAGCAAGGAAACTACCTCGCAAGGGGGAGGGCAGGTGACTGCTCCCCTCTCTGGGGCAAAGGTGTGGACCCTAGCTGACTTCCAGGAGCTCAGGACCGGTGGGCACAGTAGGTGAGAACAGGGTTCAGGGGCCACAAGGCCCAAGCTCACAGCCCATGTCCACCTCGTCCCAGCTGGCAGTCCTGAGGTCAAGGCCAAGTGTCCTGGTTGCAGGCCCCAGCTCTGGGCTGCTGGGCCTCAGTTTCCTCTTCTGCAAAGTGGAGATGGGAGCACATCTTGGAGAGTCCTGGTGAGAAGTGTGGAGTTAATGCAGAGGAGGCTCTTGGAACAGGATGTGCCACACATGTAAGGACCAGCTACTGGGACAGCGCCCACTGGAAAGTGGCCAGTCTGCAGTCCCCATGGTGGTGGGGCCCACACACTCGGCAGGGAGTCCTGGGGTACCACTGCTCTCCCCTCACTTCTCCTGCCTACTGCAGCCCCTGGCTGGGAGGGCTCTGAGCCCACGATGCCCAAACCCTGGCAGTGAACGGCCATAACTGGGGAGCAGCAGGGGCCTTGGTGAGGACCCCCTGCCTGTTTAGTGGAAGTGGAGACCCCACAAGGCTGAGATAAGTAGGAGTGGGGATGGGCAGGGCAGGCAGGGGTGTCACCCTGAGGACGGCTTGATCGAGGAGTGCATGCGAATCAGGGGTACTGACGTGGCAGTAGCCTGTGGGTGGATTTTCTAAAAATAAAGCTCCTGTTTCTTCTTGTTAAAAAAAAAAAACAAAAACAAAAAACCTTTCTGTTCCACCAAATATATTAGCATAGTTCCAAATTGTATAATGGATTCTTCTTGTTTTGTAGGAACCTCACCATTATCTCTTTCCCTAAACACCTCTCAACTTAATTTATCATTTTCTTACAACTCAATTAAATCCATTATACTATACCCCAGCTAGAAGCATGAGTGAATATGTAATACAACCGCATTTGTGCATGTCTGAGTGTAAATACTATGTGTGGGTGATGATGCATGTATCACCTGTATGCCACATACTACATGGATAAGGCCATTTTTATAGCAAGGTCCCTTTGTATTGCTTTTGACTATTTCTATTTTATAACTTAGTCCTTTACGGAGCGTCAAGAATTGGGGTCACACCAACTACATCCTGAAAAGTGAGAGAGAGAATAAGGTCCCCTCTTTTATGCAGAGTTTCTCAGATCTTTTTCTGGAAGTGGGATGGCTGCAGACTTCGAACTCTAGGGGAATATCCAATAACCAAAAGAAGGGACTCACCATCCTCAATGGCAGCCCCGGGCACCTGTCAGCTGCTGCTGCTGAGAGGTTTCTCTTCTATTTTATGCTCTTCTCTCACTGTGGTTCCTTGCCCCAGGGAATGAGCAAATGTCTCAGATTCACTGGTGTTGGGCTTGGCTCTGCTTTGATCAGTACCATAGGAGCTGGCATGATGTTTGTCATGTTCAGATAGAAACTTAGTGTAATTTTATGTTTCAGTCCAGCTCTTAAAGTTCTGCCCTCTGTCATGGGAACAGATATCCTCTGTAGGAGCCACTCCTTCAGCTGAGGTCCCAGAATGAGAAGTGAGAATGGAGCTACAGTTAACCCACAGCTCAAGCCGGTGGTGGCAAACCTGTGGCATGTTTGCTGCAGTGGGCATGCAGAGCCCTTTCTGTCAGCACGCCACCTGAGTGTATGAGTTGCTTTTTCTAAACCGAAACCTCAGTATTCATGGTTTAACTGCAATGTTGGCACTTTGTGATAAATAAGTGGGTTTTGGGTTTTGGGTTGGGCACTCACCTCTAAAAGGTTCACCATCACTAGACTAACCAGAGTTACAGCCATCCTGCCACCCTCAAAGAACAAGAGCAAAACATGCACGTTTGTTGTTATAAACTACGGGAAGTTTGTTTGTTACACTGGTATTTCAAATGAAGCTCTTCCACTATCTCTATCAGCTTAGCGGGTAGCTCTTGTCTGCAGCAGCAACCAGCCAAACAGACAAAAGAGCACTTGCAGAGGATTCAACTGCACGGGTCTTTTCAGGGCAACTCATTGTCAGGGGTCAGATTGTGGGGATGGATTCAATGACACAAGCACAGTATGGAAGCTCAGAAGAGTTCAGCATTTATGGATCCAGTAGGTGTGTGACATGTCTGGAAGCCACCACACACAGGGGTGGGGGCACAGGCAGGGGAGAGACAGAGGAACCATGCACCAATGCCTTTATTAGGGTCCGCAGCTTCAGGGCAACAGATTTTCTACAATGAGTTTTAATTGGAGGAGTTAAGTGAAACAGACATAAGTTGAGGAGGTCACATGGTGCCTGAGAAGTGGCCTCTGTCGTACATGTACAAAGTCCATGCAGGGTGTGCGGGTCTGCAGGGCCCACCAAGCAGGCCATGTCTTGCTGTCCCACAGCAAGTAGGTACCAGGAGCAGCTGTAGAAAGAAGCTATCCGGATCCACTGCCCAGAAGAAAGGGAGAGGGCTGTGTATACCTGGAAATTATGGCAAAGGAGACTGGGCCCTGTTTCTGGGATGGGAAAGTGAACTCATGTTACAAATGGATGCTGACACACACAGAATAATAAACATTCATTCTAGCTGGAGAATCAGTGAATCCGGGCAAAGGTCCAAGCTGTGCTTTGCCTCTTCGGAGTTACTGTTCCAATGGTCTCAACACTGAAGTTCCTGCCCAGGTCCAAGTGACCTTTCTCTGTTTCCACACTGGGACCCCAGCTAAGGGTAATACTATGTACAACACCGGTCATCGTGGGATAGTTCAAAGTCTTGGGCAGGCTTTCCTAAAAACAAGCATGTATACCTGTTTCACTCTTGTTAAGTGGCTGAGACTTCCACTGGGGGTCTTGAAAACCTAGGAGAATCCCTCTCTCATTTCTCTCAAGCCCAGGTTTCTGAGAAATACAACCTTACCTCAAATAGTTCGTTATGGTTTAAATATATAATGTCCACCAAAATGCTCGTGGGTTGGAGACTTGGTGCACAATGCAGCACTACTAGAGGTGAAACCTTTGGAAGGTGATCAATCACTAATAATTCAATTCTCTGATACATTAATAACTTGATGGTATTATTGTGAGAAGATTGAAACTTAGGGCATGGGGCCTGCCTAGTTGAAGAGACTTGTCATGGGAGTGTACCCTTGAGGACTCTGTCTTGTCCCTTGCCCCTTCCCCTGTGGCCTGGACTCACTTTCTCTCTGTGTTCTGGCTGCCGTGAGATGCACATCTCACCTCTACCATGCCCTTCCACCATGATGTTCTGCCTCATCACAGGCCCAGAAACAATGGAGCCAGCAGACAATGGACTGAAATCTCTGAAACCGTAGGCCAAAATAAAGTTTAAATTGTTATTCCTCCTTTAATTCTCAGGTATTCTTGTCACAGGGACAGGAAGCTGATGAACACATACTTCAAATATGACCGTTTCATTCTGCCAACTAATGCTTATTGAGAAATTATTGTGTGCAGGGTATGATGATAAACTCTGTGGAATCCAGAATTTCTGAAATGTCAATACCACAACCAAAAGCTTCCAGTCCAAAGTAACAGAGATAACCACAAATAAGAACATGGCAGTGTAAGATCAGTTCTCAATAAAGATACAAAACGAGAGCTGTGAAAAAGGCATACTTGACTATTTCTGGATGAATCAATATTCAAGAGAAAGGGGTGAAAGACAGACCTGAACAATTTAAGTTTTAATCCTTTCCTTTTCTTGTAATCTCGGGCAATTACTTTTCTTCCTCTGTGCTCCAGCTTTCTCACCTGTAAAATGAGCTAATAATAGACTTCCCCCAGTGTAACGACGAAAGAAGATAAGCGTTTAACTAAAGCACCTGCCATAGCATTTGGCAGGTGCTCTGTAATTTGTCACAATTGCAAGACTTAAAAGAAGAGTGGCATTTGCACTATGTTTTAAAGGTTTAAACAGGTAGAAAAGGCAGAGAAATAATTTTAACTAAAATATCAGTTTTTAAAATTTTTAAAAACAAGTTCTAGTGTTTAGAGCACTGTGGGCATGATTGTGGTTCAACAATAACCTATTACCTGTTTTATGTAGTTCTGCAAGCGAGTTCAAAGCTTCTGAACATGAAGAAATGCAAAGGAGATGGACGTGCTAATTACCTTGATTTGATCATATATTTTATACATGTATTGAAATATCACATTATATCTAAGAATTATGCATGATTTTCCATGTTAATTAGAAAAAAGAATATTGTCCTAATTCATGCCCTCAGGAAGGAACTGAGCTGAGATTTGCACCCCTTCCACCCTCCTATGCCATAGATGTGGACACCAGTCCACCTCTTTTCCAGGAGTGAACTTTGGAGGACTCATGTAGGTTGGTATTGTTGGACATGGTGACTCTTCAATGTGCTGAGAATTTCATGTATATATATATACACACATATATATATATATATATATTTTTTTTGTACCTGGGATCGAACTCGGGTCCTTGCACTTGCGCAGCAGGCGGCGAAACCACTGAGCTAAATCCCCAGCCCTGTGAATTTCATATGTTTGAGATGATGTGGACTATATCCTTTGCTTTCTAAAATAAATTCTCATGCTTATAAAAATAATTCATTGTGTATGTGTGCGATTTGGAAAATACCCCCAAACACAGAGAAAGAATAAACATTCTTCTGACTTTCTACAGAAGTCTGGTGTTTACTATTTCAGATATTCTTCCAGTCTTCTCACTCAATTCATACTATTTCATAATACAGTATTGTGATAGTATTTCCTCCGTTTTTCTCAGAACTTATGGTAATTTGTGATCCTGGGCAATGCAGCTTGAACTGCTCAGGTTTTAGTATCTCCCATGTAAGAAGAAAAGAGGGCAAACACTTCCAGAGTTTCTCTGAAAGTGATTAACAGACAATGATATGATTAATTGTAATGAAAACAATCTTGTCAATGGTTCAACTCAACTAATACCTCATAAACTTTTTAGAAAAAACTTTAGAGAGTCTATTGAAATATATTTCTAGAGTCTTTATTGAATGAATCCTACAACAAATATGTAGTTTTGTTGTTGTTGTTGTTTTTGGTGCTGGGGATCAAAGTCGGGACCTTGCACTTCCAAGGCAGGCAGTGGAATCACTGAGGTAAATCCCCGGCCCCTATTGAATGAATCCTAATGGAGAGAACATAGTCATTGGCAGAAACAGATAAAGCACAAGTAAATAAACAGATAAAATTGTAACTCATTCTGATAAACACAATCAAAGAAAGGAGGAAAACAAAGGTAAGTAGAAGAATAAAAGAGAGGCCAACATGAGGAGCGACAGAGATTTTCCTCAGGGAAGGAAGTCAAAGCTCAGTCCCACAGGATGACCAGTGCCAGCCCCATGAAGACCTGAGGAACAAGCGACAAGGTGGAAGGCATGGCCTGTGCTGTCTCCCAAGGCCACCCACAGGGGTGGCGGAGGGGCTGACAGAGAGGGAAAGTGGCTGGAGCATCAGGAGACCAGGGAGAAAAAAAGGACGTGGTTAGGGTTGGCAGGGCTGAGGCTGCTTGGCCTCGCGGGCCATAAAAGCAGCATAGAGTCTGATCGCAGTCACCATAGGAATCAAGCTCCGTGCTTTGAATTATGAGCTCATCACAGACCATGGAGACAGAGTCCTGATGCCGGAGCCAGGTATGAGGTGCAGGTCATTTTTGGTGTGTGCTGCTGCGCTAAAGTTAACCACAGCCTCGAAATGGGGGTGTGGTAATAAAATGATTAAGATGCAATATGTACCTGTACCGGTCTCCAAGATGAATAATATTATTGTGTATCACAAACATGTAAATATATATGTGTGTTTAAAAAATAGAATTAACGGGCCAGAGATTTAGCCAGTGCTTTCGCTGCCTGCTGTGCAAGCACAAGGACCCAAGTTCAATCCCCAGTACCAAAAAAGAAAAAAAAAATTGAAAAAAAAATAGAATTAACCACAGCCTCTTCTGCTGTCCGTGCCCTGGCTCTGCATCTGACCATCTGGTACAGGACAGCCTGCCTTGTAAGAGTTTTTGAGGGGAAGAGAAGATAAAAAATTTATTTTTTAATTTCCTGCTTCAAATTAATATCATATGCATTAAAAGGTATATAAACTTGTATTTATGATACTGTATATTTGCCTTGGAGAATATTGTTTCATCTTTATTTTTGAGAAATACAACTTAACATTTTGCTGATGACCATCAAAAAGGGGCCAAGTTAGAAAATAAGGAATTAAATCTGAATTTTTAAATCGGCTACAGGCTTGGTTCTACCTGCTTCTGGGTGAACTGCTACCATTCCAGTGAGATGTTAATCATTCTGGGGTAGGCCTAGGTTGACTACATGTTTCTAGCTACTCGTCTGCCGTTTGTCTCTGAATGAGCAGGCCACCAAGAAGCTCTGTGATTCTGTCCCTAGTGCCAAGTCCTGTGTGAGCTCCAGCAGCATGTCTTTGTCCAGTGGTAAGCATGTCTGTCACGCGACACTTGTCACCACACCCTTTTGGGGAATATCAGAAACTCTATTGAAGCGTCTGGGTCTCATTTACTATCATGTCTTCTCCATTTGCTAATGCAACATTTTCTATATATCATATAGTGATAAATAAATGTTTATTGGCTGAAAATGCAAAAATACTAAAGAGGGGTTGAAGAAGAAAGTGGCAGAGAGGTCACTGAGAAAACTGGCTATTTTTTTCCCATCCTCTTCTCCTCAGTTTACTGTCCTATGGATTGGTAAAGAAAGCCCCTGTGAGCAATTTGGCAAGAAGTTTCATTTTCTCTTTTTAGATTTCATTTTCAAAATTACTTCATGTGACAGGAATG